AAAAAAAAAAAAAAAACTTGCTGATCACAGGTGGAGAATCACGATCTACACTGCGTTATGAGCTTAGATTCATATAAGCATAACCTATGTATATATTGCTATAAACATAAAAAGATAAAGAATATATTTGAATAGAAAAGCCATATTTAGAACTAACATTCTGATTTGTGTTGTTGCTTTCCTTTGCTTCTGCAGTTCTTTGCTTTGAGGCTGTACTTCTTAAGCATTTCACCTCGTGGTGGGTTTCCTAGGTGCTAGGATGAGTGCTCTCCTTTTGGCAACTCTGTGTGTTGGCCCTGTCAATGTGGGCTGCCCCTGCCATACACTGTGTGGGACCCCAGAGGGTGGAGGCCCCTCTTTGCTGCAGCTGCTCTTTGTTGCTCCTTGCGTTTCTCTGAGCTCTTGAGCTGCACCCACAGTCCCTGGTTGACAGGTGAATTGTTCCTTTCCAGATTTCTACGCAGTACCCAGTAGTGGACCATGAGTTTGATGCAGTGGTGGTAGGCGCTGGAGGGGCAGGCTTGCGAGCTGCATTTGGCCTTTCCGAGGCTGGGTTTAACACGGCCTGCGTCACAAAGCTCTTTCCTACCAGATCACACACCGTTGCGGCCCAGGTAAGAGAAGGGGGCTCCCTGAGTGGTTTTGGCACCTGCGCAGCAGTGAGGTCTCCTGCCACAGGCCTCCTTCCCACCACACTCCAGCCACGTTTGTCTCTTTCTGCTCCTTGCACCCATTTGCTCACTCAGCTTGGGGGTCTGTGCCCACACTGCCACCACCCCCACTGCCAGAGCCGCTTCTGGGGCCTCTTACCACTCTTTTCTGCTCCAGTCACACTCAGGTCTTCTCTGAGCACCCACCTAGACCCCCTGCCCACATCACGGTTTGTCTTCAGTGTACTCTTCCCAGTCTGAAATGAGCATCTCTGGACTTGCTGCCGTTGGCCCTGGATCTCGTGTTCACTGCTGCAGCCTCGGTGTGGGCCTTGTTAAATATGATGGTGATGGCACGAATGTGTAGGATAAAAGAACATTGGCCTTTAAAAAGCTCAGAATTTAGGGAAGAAGATAAAAGTAAGGTGAAATGTTACACAGGGACTTTATAATTTTGTTTTTTTTTTTCTTGGCATACTGTGGGTAGTACCCTGGTTGAGTATTCCAAAATCGTACTGGACTGTTTTTTCCAATATTTGGAACACATTTCCTTATAGAGATAGCAGAGTATGTGGTGACTTTCCAGGACCCAGTAAAAGCCACCCTAATTACTGCTGTAGCCTGTATTCAGTGTCCAGCAACATTCTTCAGGCACTTAATTGCCCAGATAACTTTGTCCTCAAACGATGTTTTGTACGCTGAAAAAATAAATAATATATACCTTTGGAGAATTCATTGTCTAAAAGGAAAATATGGATGTAGACGTAATTATAAATAATGTAAAATAATAGGGTGGTCAGATAATGCAATATTCAATAAAAAGAGTAAGAAATGGATAGCTTAGCTTGAATGCAGATTCTAGAGAAAATAGGTTTAATTGGGGGAAGGATAAGACCGGTGGGGCCTGGAGAGTCTAAAGTGTGCTGGCTGGCTTTGTTATAGAACATGAGCTCCACATTGGATATAGAGATTACTTTAAAAAAACAAAACGGTACTTCTAGGGATTCTGGGAAGACTAGCCGTCTGTGCCCCTGATTTTTACTAACAGTAGCAGGAAATAGGATCAGTGGACGCACCGGGCCAAGTATTTTTGTGTTATTTTGAACTAGGTTTTCTCTATTCTGCCACTACTCTGGTACTTCACATTCTTAATCAGGATTGTGTCTGGGTTTATAATTGAAGGGGTTGGAGAAGGAGGAGGAAGTAATTTGGTAACTTTTGCTGCATGTCTATTACAGGATTCCTGGCTCTGTGCTAGTGATTCCTTTCCTGGGAACTAAACATAATGGGAGATTGAAGCCCAGTAGCACCAAGTGGGAAAAGAGTTCCAGCGTGGGTTGCTTGACTCAAAAGCTGTGACAGAGGAACAGTTGGAAAACAGAGGGGAAGTTCTGTGTGCCTATACTTGTGAAAAAGAGAGGAGTACTCCAGTTTTGAGTTGGAGAGGAAAAGTGCGAGCATTACGTTTGTCCCCGTACCTCCGTGTTCTGTGACTCTGGGTTCAGAGTTCATTCCTTGGCAGTAAACACTTCTTGTCTTTAACACATTCCCATAAATACCACTGGGAACATTTTGTCATAAAATTATCCCAGATTTATTGAGTACCTGTATGTGCCAGGTTGGGAAGTGTTGAGTGTTGCACATATAACCTCACTTAACCCTCCCGACAACTCTTTAGGTAAGGGGACTGAAGCAGAGGGAGGTCCTGTAACCAGACCACAGTCAGGTCCCTTACAGACATGTCAAAGCAGTTGGCTTTCTCTGACCCCAGTTCTGGGACGGAGGCAAAGGATGAGCCTGGAAGATGCCACTGGGGCTCCTCCTTGTAGCTTGTAAGGTTGCTCTCTGTTTGCAGGGAGGGATCAATGCTGCTCTGGGGAACATGGAGGAAGACAACTGGAGATGGCACTTCTACGACACCGTGAAGGGCTCCGACTGGCTGGGGGACCAGGACGCCATCCACTACATGACGGAGCAGGCCCCTGCTTCCGTGATAGAGGTAGTACCCTCGCATGGTCTAACCCAAGAGAGAGGTTGAGGCAGATGTGGCCAGCTCAAAGAAGGGTAATGAGTGGATGGAACAAGGGAAATCTTTTCTGTCATTAACCATTCAGTTCATTTAATAGCGGAGGTTTTCTCTTCTCCAAAGTGTTCAAATTTTCATGGAATGTATTGGTTTGGGGTTTGCAGGTTTATGTTGAGATTGTTTAGTGTAAAGTAGCCATGAGTGTCTCGATTCCTTCAAAGTACCGGGTGTTCGTTTTTATATTTCACAGCTGGAAAACTATGGCATGCCGTTTAGCAGAACTGAAGATGGGAGGATTTACCAGCGTGCTTTTGGCGGACAGAGCCTCAAGTTTGGGAAGGGCGGGCAGGCCCACCGCTGCTGCTGCGTGGCGGACCGCACTGGCCACTCACTGCTGCACACGTTGTACGGAAGGGTGAGGCTGCCCTGGGTGCGCAGCGTGACGACTTGGTCTGGTTAGGCTGGACGTACGGTGATGAGCGAGGGACAGGTCAGAATGTCGACGTGTCCGCTCCGGGGTCGCTTCATAAACAGCAGAGGAACTTGGCAGGATATGTGTAGTAATTGTTAATTTGGAAGTGTCCATTTGAGAAAATTAAACTGATCATCATTACATACTGTATTTGAACTTGCGATCTGCCACAGTGCAGGTGTAAGAAGAGATCAAGTATTTTATGACTCAGTACCTCTGAGTTCCTGAACTGATTGATTTAATACTTAACTGTTCAAACTGGACTAAGGTTCGGGGGACAGGAGTTACTGGGTAATCGGGGCCTACTTTGGCACAGCCAGACAGTATTCTGAATAACTCTGATTCAGAATAGTCAGTTGCTGAACTCTCGCTCTCAGATGGGGACACGGTATTGATTTACAAACGTAAGGCACCGGTTTCTTCTCTGGCTGAGCGCATTGACAGATGTGTGACAGGATCTGCCCATCCTGCAGAATTGTGTGTCACATGGGGGAGCTGACAGTTTTGTGAGCGTCCTTTACTTTCACTAAGCAGCCACATGGTCTTCTCTGGTGTGCATGACACGTGTGTCCTTACGTTCTGATCATACAGCTAAGAGAGGGCTTCCTTTTGTGTTGTCACCCAACAGCATCAGCACTGTGGCTGATGTGAGCTGAACTCCGACTCCTTTTGCAACCTGGTATTTTCCTAGGGTTTACGCTGTCCATTTGTTACACACCAGATCAGGGCCTTTAACCTGTTCACGTGAGCAGTATTGCTGAAATGTCCATTTGACACCCTAAATGCAATTGAAACTGGATTCCTGTTTTTCTTTCATGTTTTTTAGTCTCTGCGATATGATACCAGCTATTTTGTAGAGTATTTTGCCTTGGATCTCTTGATGGAAAATGGGGAATGTCGTGGTGTTATTGCACTATGCATAGAAGATGGGTCCATCCATCGCCTAAGAGCCAAGAACACTGTTGTAGCTACCGGGTAGGAGTCTAACTTGTATTTAATTTCTCTGTAGGGAAGTTGGGTCTCAGTTTCTTCTAGTAAAAGTGGAGGCACTATGGAATAGTGGCTTAGTCACAGGCAGTGACCTATCCCAGCTGCATAATAAGCTTTGCCAGCCTCGGTTCTGTATCTTTGAAACCACAGCAGCTGCCTCAGGTGGGTGAGGAAGTATCTGTCCTCAGTTTGCACCTGGGCGGACCCTTGATGAAACGGGTCTGGAGAGTCACATGGCATTTTCCGGACTAACCTCTCTTTTGCTTTAGTGGGTACTGTGTTTACACTGACTTTCTGGGGTAGTTTGTTCATGTGATGAAAATAAGTAAATTCCATTTCATACACTGTCAGTCATTTTAAGCCTTTAAAAGCGGGAATCCATAGACATTAGAAATTTTAGTATTAACGTAGAAGGTGCTCATCAGGGAAGTCACGCAGCACAGAAGTGCACTAAGGTACAGAAGAGAGTGCTTTCCCTGTCCCTCGGGCGCCTACCCCAGTTGCCCAGGGTGGCCCAGTGCTGCGGGGCTGCTCTCTCCGCTCTGGCGCCATTAGAAGGGCAGACCCGCTGGTTTCCTGGGCGCCACCATCCTATCTCCGCTGGCCCGTCTGTTTTCCAGAGGCTACGGGCGCACCTACTTCAGCTGCACATCGGCCCACACCAGCACTGGTGACGGCACCGCCATGGTCACCAGGGCAGGCCTCCCCTGCCAGGACTTGGAGTTCGTTCAGTTCCACCCCACAGGTAGGACGGGACCGCTTTCATGGGTCGGGCTCTTCGTGGCTTTGAGCCCCCCCACACCTCTCGCTGCTCCTCTGCACCTCCATGCACGGCATGTTCTCAGAGCCCAGCTTGTCATTTGCTCAGGAGATGTTTCCCTGTTTCCCCCAAGGCAGTTGAGGGCACCAGCCTAACTACCTCTTGCTTTGGAGGTACCTGCTCCAGTCGTAAAGCCGACTGTTAGCGTCCCTCTCCCTGACTTGGTTGTCAGCTCCCAGAGGCAGGGGCAGGTATGGCTGTGTCCACAGTAGGACCTTGTCAGTATTTTCTGAGTGAATGTCTGACAGCTGGCAGGGATGCTGTTGACCAGAGTTATGGCATCGGCAGATTTCAGTGTCGTAGGGAAAAGAGCAGGCTGTCACAGCAGGAGAGAATCAAGTTGGGATGAAGTGTTGCAGACAGGACCCCGTGAGGTGTTGATGACTGCCCGGTCATGGGCAGATTGAGCCCATCTTGGGTCCTCAGATAGTTGAGTTTGCAAATGGGGGGTTCAGAAGGGAGGTCTACCCTGGGGGTGCAGGTTTGAGAGGGTTTGTTATCCAGAAATGAATCAGAGAGAGGGATCTGCCTCTTGGGAGGGATGAGTCTCATTCTGGACTTTCTTTCTGGTTGCTTTTCTGACTTGTCAACTGGGGGACACCACACCTGGTGGCAGTAGCCAACCACCTTGCTAAAGACAATGACCTTTTTTTTCTCTTTGCTCTGTTTTTTCCTGATCCGCTGGCAGGGATGAAAAATAAAGCTTTAGGTGGTCTTCATTTTTTTAAATATTATTTATCTGAGCGAGTGACAGCACGAGTGGGTGAGTGGGCAGAGGAAGAGGGAGAATCTCAAACCGACTCCCTCCTGAGCACACACAAAGCGCAACCTGGGGCTCAATCCCATGACCCTGAGATCGTGACCTGAGCCGAAACCAACAGTCGGACGCTCAACCAACTGAGTCACCCAGGCGCCCCTTAATTACTGTTTTTAACTAGTAAAATGAGGGGCGCCTGGGTGGCTCAGTCGTTAAGCGTCTGCCTTCGGCTCAGGTCATGATCCCGGGGTCCTGGGATCGAGCCCCGCATCGGGC